TATTGTTACGTCCGCGCTGAGCCTGTGACTGAACGCTCGCTACATGGGAAACTGCGAAGCGTCCCAAACAACGGGAGTTATTTGTTTAACATAGCCGTGAGATTCGAATTGTCACAGCTGTGTTACGTACATTGATATATTATTATTTGAAATACGCAGAATTCTATTAATCTAATGTATATACCATTTTTATATTTCCGATCCAGAATTCGCCCTGATATAGGTTAGGAAATGTGTCAAGGCTCGTCTAGACGACAAGGCGTAAGGCGCGGCGCAAGAGCGCGAGCACACAGACGCAAGAGGATTTTTCCCGATCATAGGGTCGTGGCGCAGCGGCGCAAGCGAAATAACCCAGGTAGCAATATTATAAGTTATCGCTTTAAGGTTGCTTTTAGGATTTTATTATAAGATAACCAATGTATGTTTTAAAATTGGTATCTATTTTACTCTGTTGTCCTATTATTTTAGGTTATATTGAAACGTTTGCTGTACATTATTGTATGTGCTCTGGAACTGTTCAGTTATTTCGAGACACTTTTGGCAGAGGTCGAGGAATGTCGGCAGTGCTTTCGACAATTTCGCAGCTTGTGCACGATCCTTTTAGTGCCGATGGAGGGTATAGGATCGGCGACAGTGCCAAAAGTATACAAAGTATTGTCGACCGCGACACGAACGTTGCGCGGAAGTACGGATACGCGGGAGGTCTTCGATGGAATGCGATCAGCACCGCGGAGATATTCGAGCCTGTGCTCGCTTACTGGGAAAAGTGCGTGGACACTGACAAGAGCACGCTCGAGCGTTTGCTCGACACTGGCGTCTTGCAGGAACTAATGAATTTGTTTGTACACATGAACAGAGATGAATTTTACTCCACGCACGTGTCGGTCAAGTGAAAGTCGTGCCTGGACAAACTCTGTACAGTTAAGAGGGACTTGTACAACGCCGTGGTGATGAAATGCAGATTCGTCAGTCTAGTATGTAAGTTTCCCGTTAAAACTCTGCCGGCGAAAGCGTGCGCTGTTACTAGGAAAATTATGAAGCGGAATTTCGAGTGGGTCATTCGTGAAATGAAGGAATCCGAATCTTGAAATTATCTTGCAAAAAGTACCGAGTTGACCGCGCGCGCTGTATCGTTGCCGTTCGTCGAGTCAACTGCCTCACGTTCAACGATTTCTTGCAGCCGAGGAGGTGACGAAGTCGAGCTTCCGCCGCAAGGTGTGGGACTACATGACGAAGAATGAGCTGGTCAACTTCCCCGTCAACATACAGGGTGAGTCAGTATAACCT